TCTTAATGACCTTTTGCTTTCTTCCTGTATGGTGTTCTTGATATCATCTCACAATTCTTCTGGTCTTTAGTCTTTAGTGTCTAATGTATCAAATCTGTTCTTCAGGTGATCTATAAAATCAAGTGGGATATGCTCAAGGTCATATTTTGACTCTCATGGACTTATTTTAACTTTCTTCAGCTTCAGCCTGAACTCGCATATAAGCAATTGATGGTCTGGTTCCACAGTCTGCCCCTTGCCTTGTTTTGATTGATGATATGGAGCTTTTCCACCGTCTCTTTACACAGATGTAGTCAATTTGATTTCTGTGTATTCCATCTGATGAGGTCCATGTGTATAGTCGTCTTTTATGTTGCATTCAAAAGATATTTGCAATGAAGAAGTCATTGGTTTTGCAGAACTCTATCATGCAATCAATCTCTAGCAAAATTTCTATTATCAAGGCCATATTTTCCAACTACTGATCCTTCTCTTTGTTTCCAACGTTTGCATTCTAATCACCAGCAATTATCAATACTTGTTAGTTGCATGTTTGATCTCCTACAGCTTAGTCAAGGTCAATTCCTAGTATTTAAAGACATTCAATTGGACAAAGTGAGTTCAAGCATCCTAGGAATTCCAATCTCCTTCTGAAGGATTTTAGCCCATGATACAATGGCTCTCACTGAGTGGCTCCAGCCAGTACCCCTGGTAATCCCACGGGTTACCCTCAAGGACTCCCCATGAGTTATGGGAACCCCTAAATTGGGTAACAGTGACAACTGAACAATCATCCCAGATAAACAAAGCTTACAAGTATGTGTCTCACATCACCTGCCTAGAGTACAGGATATCCCAAGGAGGGAGACACTGGATTTGTATTACACTTTAACAGCATCATGCTGGTTTCATCTCTTACATCCTGACTAAGTGGCCCCTCCTTAGCCATACCTTCCTGAATAAACTCTATTAGGTGCCTTGGAATTCTCTCCCTTGCCCTTTGATCTGTATTTTGTACCGTTGTTCTGTGGCATTCTGCTTCCATAAATATTTACAGCCACGGAAACTCTACGGAGCAGTTCCACGCTTCCCTACAGGGTCACTATGAGTCGGGATCTACTCGCAGGCAATGGATTAGGTTCGGATTTGGTGCTTACTTCTTCTCTTTTAGTTTATTGAGATAAATTCTCTGGGTGACTGAGGTTTGTTTTTCCCAAAAGTACATGATTTCTACTGGAGGAAAAGGAATATTCTCCTTTAGGTCACTCCTCCTAACACACACTCAAAACTGTTTCAATACAAAAGCTGACACATACATCACCGTATAGTTCTAGAGTAGAATAAATAAACAAATCAAGCATTTTATTTCTTTAAAATAAAGAATATGAAAACACACAAGTATAAGAATAGAATAATTCCAGACAACAAAAATAATATATCTCTGTGGCACTATACCTTATAAATGTTACTCAAATGACTCATGGAATGTCCCAAAGTCTTCTCATTCTGCAAGGAAATCAAACAGCTATTAAGGATCAAGCTTTGATTAAAATGGACAAAGAACAAGTAATTGATCAAAATCCTACTGAAAAATCATTCCTTCACCTAGAATTTGCTGAGCACACCTCTATTAAGTCTTGGTACAGGTACTTTTGCTGTTGTTAGGTGTCACCGAGTCAGTACCAACTCCCAGCGACCCTATATACAATGGAATGAAACACTGCCTGGTCTTGAGCCAACCTCACAATGATTGCTACATTTGAGCCCATCATTGCTACCACTGTGCCAATCCATCCCACTGTGGGTCTTCCTCTTTTTCTTCGACCCTCCATTTTACCAAACATGATATCCTTCTCCAGAACTGATCCCCTTCTGACAATACATCCAAAATGTGAGAGGCAAAGTCTGGCCATCCTGGCTTCCAGGAAGCATTCTGGCTGTACATTTTCCAACACAGATTGGTTGGGCAGTCCATGGTACTTTTAATATTCTCCTCCAACACCAAACCTCAAATGCATTAATTCTTCTACAGTCTTCCTTACTCACTATCCAACTTTAGCAGGCATATGATGCATTGAAAATACCATGGCTTGGGTCAGGCACACCTTAGCCCTCAAACTGACATATTTGCTCTTCAACACTTTAAAAAAATGTCTTATGCAGGTATTACATTCTGGATAATTTTTGGTGGAGGGGAATACAATACAAGAGAGTTTCTTCCCTAAAGAAACTTAACATCTAATCAAGGAAAGAACAAAAGTTTAGAATTTAACACTAAGAGGCATTTAACAACAGCAACAAGTTCCAGAAGATACATTCTAGTGGACGTTCAGTGGAAAGAAATACCACATTCTGTTGAAAGTAACAGAGTCCAAATTATAAGAGAGAAGAATGGGGGACACCCCACCCTAGCTGCGTTGATATGGCTCTCTAAGTACTGGGTATTCAGTAGGGACATGGCCCAGACCGCATCTTCTATTGGCACTCTTGGATCAGCACTGGAGTGCGAACTACAAGGTGGGCATTCAAACCCACCAGCCTTGGAAACCCTATAAAGGGTCGCTGAGTTGGAACTGACTAGACGGTACATAACATTCTCAATTCAAATCCATGTAATAACTATGGGTAAGTTCAGAAGCTTACAACTGATGTGAGATATAAAAGCAAAAGAGGCATCTTACCTCAGGTAAAATGGATGTACTAATGCTAAAAGCTCAGCATAAACTTTTTCACAGATTCAAGCCCTGTTGCTTAGGAACCAACCCGTTCGTTAAAGAAATATTTTCCTTTGTGGTCAAGCTAATAATGTGAAAACTACACATCAGGGAATTTGTTACCAGCACCTTATCAGATCCCTACAGGGAACTGTATGTCCTGGGTAAGGTAATTTTTAACAAACTGCTCCCCAAAACATCCATTATCCCATTGTTTTGTGATTCATCATAAGACCCTCTCCATTACCACAGACTTTGTAAGAGGTCTTTCAGCTGATCAATAGTTTCTGCATGAACTGATGTAACCAATGTTAAAAACCATGGCCCTTTAACCGACCACAATCTCTGTAAACCAATCAGAATATTATATTTTGTAGTTCCTTGTATGGCCCTATATGTGTGATTCATGTGCCCTATGTTGTCAATCATACATTGACAGAGAACTTCCAGAGGTTCAAGCTGGATTCAGAAGAGGCCATGGAACGAGAGATATCATTGCAGATGTCCGATGGATCTTGGCTGAAAGCAAAGAATATCAGAAGGATGTTTACCTATGCTTTATTGACTACGCGAAGGCTTTCGATTGTGTGGATCATGACAAGCTATGGACAACATTGAGAAGTATGAGTATTCCAGAACACTTCATTGTACTTCTGAGAAATCTGTACCTGGACCAAGAGGCAGTTGTTCAAACAGAGCATGGGAACACTGAATGTTTTAAAATTGGGAAAGGTGTGCAACAGGGTTGTGTTCTTTCACCATACTTGTTCAATACGTATGCTGAGCAAATAATATGAGAAGCTGGGTTCTATGAAGGAAAACGTGGTGTCAGGATTGGAGGAAGACTTACTAACAACCTGAGATATGCAGATGATACAACCTTGCTTGCTGAAAGTGAAGAGGACTTAAAATATTTACTGATGAAGATCAAAGAGCACAGTCTTCGTATGGATTACAACTCAATGTAAAGAAAACAAAAATCCTCACCACTGGACCAATAAACAGCATTCTTATCAATGGAGAAGAGATTGAAGTTGTCAAGGACTTCATTCTTCTTGGATCAACTATCAACATTCACGGAAGCAGCAGTCAAGAGATCAGACAATGTATTGCATTGGGCAAATCTGCTGCACAGGAACTTTTTAAAGTACTGAAAAGTAGAGATGTAAGCTTGATCCATGCCATGGTATTTTCAATAATCTTATAAGGATGTGAAAGCTGGACAGTGGATAAGGAAGATCGTAGAAGAATTGATGCCTTTGAGTTGTGGTGTTGGAGGAGAATGCTGAAAGTGCCATGGACTGTCAAAAGAACCAATAGATCTGTTTTGGAGGAAGTGCAACCAGAGTGCTCCTTGGAGGCCAGGATGGCTAAGCTTCGTGTCTCCTACTTTGGACACATTGTCCGGAGAGAACAGTCGTGGGAGAAGGATGTCATGCTGGGTAAGGTGGAGGGTCAGAGAAAAAGAGGAAGACCCCCAATGAGATGGATCAGCCAGGTGGCATCATTGATGGCATCAAGTGTGGCGGCGGTAGTGAGGTTGGCCCAGGATCAGACATTGTTTTGTTCTGCTGTGCATGGGGTCACTATGAGTCGGTTCCGACTCGATGGCACCTGACAACAACAACAACAACAAATGTTGGACATTACCAGTCGTCTGTCAGTTTGTGTACTGTGGTGGCTTGTATGTTGCTGTGATCCTGGAAGCCATGCCACGGGTAATTTAAATATCAGCAGGGTCACCCATTGGTGGACAAGTTTCAGATGAGCTTCCATAAAAAAACAGACTAGGAAGAAGGAGAGGCAGACTACTTCTGAATCTTCGTCACTGAAAGCCCCTGTGACGAGTAGTGGAACACTGTCAGCACCAGGATACTGAAACATAATGGAGAGCAACAGAATACTGTCAGATCTAGTACCCCGCAGATTGTAAGGCATTCAAAATACGACTGGGGAAGAACTGCCTCCACAGAGCAGAATTGACAGAGATGACAATAACGAAATAAAGTCTTTGGGGTCTTCATTTGCTGATGGGGAACAACTCAAACTGAAGAGAAACATCCATTAATAATCAAAACATGGAATGTACGAAGTATGAATTTAGGAAAATTAGAAATTGTCAAAAGTGAAATGGAATGCATAAACATTGATATCCTAGGCACCAGTGAGCTGAATTGGATTCGTATTGCCCTTTTTGAATCTGACAATCACATGGGTTTACTATGTCGGGAATGACAAATTGAAGAGGAATGGTGTCATATTCATCATCAAAAAGAATATATCAAGATTTGTCAAGAAGTACAATACTGATACAATAATATCCATACTCCTACATGGAAGACCAAGGAGCTCTGGTACCATAGTGGGTAAAAGTAAAACCTTAAGGTCAGCAGTTCAAAACTACCAGCTGTTCTGTGGGAGAAAGATGAGGCTTTCTGCTCCAGTAAAGATTTACAGCCTTGGAAACCCTGTGCAGGGTCACTATGAGTAGGAAGCGACTCCACGGCACACCACTACTAGCACCACCACAATGCAGACCAGTTAATACCACTATTATTCAAATGTATGCAGCAACCACTAAAGCCAGTGATGAAGAATTCTACCACCTTCGTCAGTTTGAAATTGATAAAACAAGCAATCAAGATGTATTGATAATTACTGGCAGTTGGGATGCAAAGGTTGGAAATAAACAGGAAGGATCAGTACTTGGAAAATAAGGCCTTGGTGAGAGAACTAATGCTGGAGACCACATTTTGAAATTTTGAAATTTCAGTTTGAATTTTGAAAGACTAATGACTTAATTGCAAATACCTTTTCTAAATCAACATGAAAGACAACTTATACACCTGGACCTCACCAGATGGAATACATACAAATCAAACTGACGACATCTGTGCAAAAAGACAACGGAAAAGCTTCATATCAACATCCAAAACAAAGCTAAGGGCAGACTGTGGAACAGACTATCAATTGTTCATATGCAAATTCAAGCTGAAGCTGAAGAAAATTAAAACAGTCCACGAAAACCAAAACATGACTTTGAGCATGTTGTTGTTGTTAAGTTCTGTCGAGTCAGTTCTGACCCCTAGCAACCCTGTATAGGGTTTTCGAGGAACAACTAGAGAGCTTGAACCACAAACCTTGAAGCTCAAACCGACTTTGCAGTTCAGCTCTTTAACCCACAGTGCCACACCAGGCCTCCGACCTTGAGCATATCCCACAATTTAGAGATCATCTTAAGAACAGATTTGATGCATTAGACACTAAAGACCGAAGACTAGAAGGGTTGTGGGCCAACATCAAGAACATCATACAAGAAGACAGCAAAAGGTCATTAAGAAGATAAGAAAGAAGGAAAAGACAAAATGGACGTCAGGAAATAAAAGACCTGAAGAGAAAATTCTGAAAAGCAGCTTGAGAAGGCAAAGTCAAATATTATAACAAAATGTGTGAAGACCTGGAATTAGAAAAACAAAAGGGAAAAACACACTCAGCATTTCTCAAGCTTAGGGAATTGAAATCTATGCCAAGAAATTTGGAAAACAACTACCTGGCCAACTGACTGAAGAGATCGCCATATTCGTTCCCATTCCAAAGAGAGGTGATGCACCAGAATGCGGAAATCATTGGACAATATCATTAATACCACGTGCAAGTAAAATCTTGGTAAAAATAATACAAAAACAGCTGCAACCATATATTTGACAGAGAATTTCTAGAGGTTCAAGCAGGATTCAGAAGAGGACGTGGAATGTGGGATATCACTGATGATGTCAGATGGATCTTGGCTGA